CCCCCCGGTTCCTACGCCCCTGCATTCGTCTCCCTGTAGGTCCAAGCAATCTGGTCATTTTGAATGTTTTCATGGGGGTGATGGCCACTAGCCTTAGAGCAGAGGCGCCGACAAGGAATCAGACTGCAATAAATGCACAACTAAATTATACTAGAATACTAAAAAAGTGGTGTAATTTTAAGTTTGCATTATCAACCTGCAAAGTTCCTGGCAACCTGCAAAATTCCAACCTGCAAAATCCCCAACCTGCAAAATTCCAACCTGCAAAATTCGCAACCTGCAAAATTCCAACCTGCAACCTGCGTTTTGTACCTGCCGGTTCTGTCCTTAGAGAATGCTGTACATATGCTGCTCTCCAGTTGTTTAAGTGCCTGTTAATAATGGGAATGAACACATAATGCAGACACCACATGTGTGACTCGTCATCAGGATTTAACATTCCGTGATATTCTAGGTCGTAAAAAAGCTCATAAAATAGACTAAGGCATCCACCAAAAACATCCCTCCAGAGTCGTTCAATTCGTTGGTTGTGTACGCTTTTCCCTGTTACAATAAATATAGATAGATGGGTAGTTTTTGTCGATGTCTGTTTAAGGAAGAAATCTAGGGAAGAAATAATTAACCCATTTAGGGACCGGTTATTAATCAATAGAGGGGAGAGGGCTGGTGCAAATGAAATATACCATGCTAATTTTTTTTTACCCTCCCCCTAAGTGATTTGCACTTTTGTCCGACCCCCACCGCCCTGCCAGCGTTTTTATGGTTCATACCTTATAATTTAAATCATCATTTTTGGGTGTAAACTAACTGGTGTAAAAAATTGTGTAGCCTAAATAATTAGAAGACCAGCTTTCAAATTGTTGTTATAAGGCGCTGTTACACTATGCAATTTGTCTCGCAATTTTGTTGCAACACAATTTGCACATCCTTCCTGCAACTGAGTGGTTTCCTATTGACTTTTGACTGACAATATGGCGCCAAACGTTAACGCTCACGGTTTTTATACTATTTTTAATTATGATCATTGCGAGTTGCATGGAACATGTTGCTTGGTGTAACATCCCTTGCAATGTAATCCTGAAATCGTTTTTCTTAACATTGCAAGACAAGTTCCGAGACAAGTTGCTTAGTGTATAACAGCGCCTTTAGGCTTTACTCCGACTTCCATGGTGAACATATACGTAATAAACTATGGAAACTACGATTTATACAAAAAAAGATTCAAGATTCAAACATTTATTGTGCCAACAATAGTACATAGTTTAAAAGTATATAGTTACATAATTGGACGGATAATCGAAGCACAGGCTATTTGGAATAGCAAAGCTAATCTAGCCAAATAGCCCAGCATATTATTGGATTAATATATGATAGAAGGATGAGCAGATGGTTTTACTAAATATTAGATACAGTATGACTGGCACAAAAAAACACAGAGACACAAAAAAAAACTGGAAAGAAAACAAACAAACAAAAATATACAGGAACTAAAAAAGGTGAAATATTTTGTGGGATACGATAAAGGCGAGAGATTGAAAATGAGTATAGGAAAGGCAACCCTGAATACGTTTCGACCTAACAGTCTTCTTCCGCAGGGATTTTTAAGGGGGGTTGTATGCAGAATTCGGCAGAGGAGAAGTTTGGTTAATAATGTGAGACCAAGAGAAAAACAAATTATTACGAAGTTATTGAAAATAGCCACTTACATAGCAACAAAAATGAAAGATGGAGAAATAGTGAAAAATGATAACTACATAAACTGCTACATGTTATTAGTTAAGTTATCTTACCAAAGGTCTTGTTAGTGTGGGACATTCCAACACCACATATTTTATTGTTCATCTTCTCAGTTAATTTTGAAGTAGACCGAATGACAGAATGATCCTTTTAGAGGTAGCTTACTCGATAGTACAGTGAGTATGAATGATTGTGACAGTAAGGGTGGAGTAGGATTTATATAGTAGTGTGATCATGTGACTGTGGGTGATTACATCCTAACATTGTGAAGAGAGCTTAAATAACAGTGATAGGAACGTTTGGCAATAATAAGTGATCCGTAATGGATAAAAATTAATTATTACACCGTGCAGGGTTTTATTTTATAAAACAAATATGAGTATACAGTCAGGGATGCCAGAAAGTAGATAATTGGGGGGGGGGCAGATATTCATATATTCATGTGCTGCATAATTTATTTCCTTTGAAAGCGATTGTTTTTACAGTCTGTGAACACGAATATATGAATATCTGCCCCAATTATCAACTTTCCGGTGTCCCTGTATACAGTAATAACTAAAATATGTACATATATGACAAAGCCAAAACAGTAAAATTAATGAATGATACAATATGGCCAATCATTAGCTATAGTTCAGGTGTTAATTTTGCCACCTAGAGGATCCACGTTTATCATTGTACTTTGTTATTTTAGTTATAAAACATGCCAGGCATGCTTGTACTTACTTGAACAAGAAATCAATGAACCAAAATATCCCATTTACTTTAATAAAATGATAACTGCCCTGCTTTTTTAGGTATTCTTGTTTATTAAAAATGTCATTAATTAAAAAAATTTGCTATGTTTTTTCTTGCATGAATTTACATGACCCCCCTTTTCCCCTTGCATGAAAATTAGTGACCCTCCCCCATTTTGCACCAGCCCCCCCCCCTGTGATTAACGACCGGTCCCTTAGTGGCAGCACTCCCCACTTGACCAGACAAATTAAAATAATAAACTAGTGCAAATCAGGGTGCCACTTAAAGGGTTAATGACAATATACAGCTGAGTAGCATGATATTTATTTTACTTCAGCTCATACCTGTAATCATACTACCTCTGCCAGGTCCACGCTCAGGATGATTTAACATATAAGCTGATACATCAACATTTTCTCCCCCTTTGTCAGACCTTACTCGAGAAGGGAGCCCATACTCTGCTACAGCCTCACAAAAACATGTCAGTACTGTGCTAGCTCTGTTGTTGTTAGAGCCTTTAAGAAAACAGGAAGTCTCGAATAGCCATCTATGCCACCATGAACAACTATTCGCCATCTGTTGACAGAACAAACTTTATAATTTTAAATGAACATAAATAAAATAACCATTGCCTGTATTTTTCACTTTTTTCATATTCTTACAATTAAATGTAAGCCCAATTAATTGCGGAAAAGTACTTGTAATCGATACCTGATCAACTTGTGATTTCCATCGATGTGCCACAATGACAATGGGAATCTGACATTATATTTACGCCTATTTACAGTAATTCTACATCTTTCTGCTAAACCAACTGGAGCAGTCCTTAACAATGATTCTCTTACTCTTTTCCACTGAATGCGATACCCTTTTCCTTTCAAATACCCTTTCACCAGCCTAGACCTAGGCCTTCTAGTCTTATTTATATATTTCTAATATTCAGCGCTTTTTCACATGAAAAGACTGGGACTAGGTGATTTGGGGGCGGGGCGGAGGAAGCAAGCCTAGAAGGCCTAGTGGATTTCCCAACAACAAGGCCAAAACTGCCCTGAAACTCAAAACTGCCCTGAAACTGCCCTGGTTGCAAAATGCCCAATTATTGCGTTCTCAAACAGAAGTATTTGCAACTTAACGGCGAATTTAAACCGATACAGGTAAAACAAACTCATTTAATATAGTATAAACTTACTATTTTTATTTGTATACACGTCTAGAAAATCGGGTTTTTTATCATAACGTTTGAAGCAACACTATTATTATGTTGACAAGGTGTAGCGAAAGCACAAAATGAGTCAAAATATATACCAAAAGTAGAATCTTTCATGAAATTTTGTCTTATACACAACTACATTAATATATATTTTCTCAATTTGGGCAA